TCCGAGCCTGACCATCGAGTTAGCGAAGAGATTTCCTTCGCGTACTCGCGATTTGACGTAACGGAGTACGCACAACGCGGTCTCTTCAATGCCGGCATCGGTCATATCATACGGCATCGCGCCATCAGTTCAGTTAGTTTCACTTCTTCCGATGAACTTGTCTCGAGAACTCGTGAAAGCTCCGATCTGGTTTTCGTTAACGCTCGCGCGCGCGCGTAATCACGGAGACGGAAACGCGCGTCGCATGCACGCGCTCGCGGGTCCCCGTTTCCGCTCGTTGACCGAGTGGAAAGGCAGTTATCGAACTTCCTTTTCGTCGCTATCGCAGTTCGAGTGATCACAGAATACGTATACGAGGTCATTGCCATCACTCAATGGAAAAGGGAAGGTCGATTGTAGATCCGAAGGAGCGGAGGGGAGAGAAAGGGAGAGAGAGAGATGGGGGGAGAATAACTCCCGTTTAACGAGGTTGGATCGCTTAAGGAGGCTGTAGAAAGATACAAGGTGAAAGATGCGCGAGTAAGCATTTAGAAGTTCGCGCGGGGCGAGGTTAAGAAGACAGAGGTTAGCGATTAATCACAAACTTGGGACGTATTAAGGCCGCGCGTTTGCAAAATAGAAGGTCGTGCGGGGAAACATTGAACTTCCGGTATTACTACGGCGTATCAGCACGTTCGCCTTTGCGGTAAATGTCCGGCGAAGGTTGGAGCCTTAACCTGGTGGAAAGTTAGGCCGATAGACAGAAGTTCGCACGCCATGGGCGTTCCTCGAACGTTCAGTGAACTTTTTGCCATTACGCTTAGAAATCTCTGCCTGAGAGACTCACTTTCTAGAAATAAATGCTAACGTCCATCCATATCGCTTAATTATAGGCCTAACTTTGGTTCCTCGGTGATTAATCAAAAGTCGATAACGATTTTACCGGCAACGTCATCATTAAATGCTGAATATTAGCTGTGATGTCGGTTAATTAATTTCAATATCATATGTATCGGCGTCTTGTGAGATACGCCTTCGGAAATAATTGCGAATTGCTTCAGTGATCAAGTCGCGTTCCGTGAAAAGTTCTGATTAAGATTATCATCATCCGCGATGTCGGCCGCGATATGAACGAAATACGAGATATAAACTCGCGTATACACGATTGACGCTAATTTCTCAATATTAGTATCGATATAATATCACATCTCGAGCAATAAAAGACGGTGAAAATATTAAAAGTCCCGTACACGATCATCCTTGTGGACACAATGGAAAATCACAGTTACGTTAGCATATATCATTTCTCGCAAATGAGTGTGTGTATATATATGTGTGTGTGTGTGTGTGTGTGCGTGCGCGCGCAAGGTGCATACATTAAGGAGAAAGAAGGCGAAAGATGATGATGAATTTGTGCGAGCACACCGAAACGCTCCAGCGCAATCACATTAATAGCAGACATGCGCGACCATTAACTATCCCGAAGGCCTTGAAACGATCCATGTAATTGTGTCTTAATTTAACGAGTTTTATATACGGCGTTGAAATCGAAAGTTCCTAAGAGAGTCCATAACTTTAAGATACGGCTGATTCTTTGTAGACGACGTGATATCCGATTCGCCGAGAACTTCGCGTCATTTCGAGGATAATCGATAAACTTTTCTTTAATATCAAATATTACCAGTTAATTTTATATATTAGCCTTTTAATGTCAAATTTAACATAAGGCGTATATACGTACATGAGTACAGCAATCATCGTTCTCTCGGCTCTCACGATGCATTTTGAGAAACCGCCTTTCGCTCTTGTGGCTGCTTATTTATGATGACGAACATGTGTCATCGTATTTACTGTAAGAATCCTCAAGTAAGAATTTAAGACGAGGGCGCTAATGAATTCCCGCGAATTACGCCATACGTGATTTCACACGAGTCCGTCTGCTCCTCCGTGATATGTATTTTTTCTTTATACGTTTGATGTACACAATTTCTTTTCACTTTTTTTTTTTCGTTACACTCGACATGTGCCCGAAGCAAGCGGTAACCGTGAAGCAAGCACATTCACCACCACAAAATCGGGCTGGCTTTCTACCTAATTTTTGTGTACGGAGGGAAAAATAGAAATTGAAATCCGCCGAATAATCTACAATCAGGAGAAAGTGCTCGCGTATACGTACTATTTGATATTTGAAGATAATGATTGATACTTCAATAGACATAAATATATATTCTTATTTCGACGTGCTTTCACATTTTCGTATTTTAATATACTTTTTTGAGTTCTTGATGAAGCAATGAAAATGAATAAAAGAACTCAAGTAATAATTTTAGAGTCAGAATGTCGAAACTACAAAAGTTCAAGAAGGTGTGTGTGTGTGTGTGTGAGTCTGCGCGTCTCTTTATCATAAATAAATATTTTTACATTTTCAGCGTAGAATTTTATAGCTATCCATTTTTTCCGGTGAAGAGCGAAAATAAGATTGTAACGATCTATCAAGGAACCATACTTGTTTTTTTTTCTTCCTAAAATAACCGACTAAAATAACATAACGAATAAAAGAATAAGGGAAAATAATTTGGCGCGGCAAGTTTCTGATGAATGTATGAAGATGATAGAAGAACACCGATGCACACTGAGGAATATACCGGACTTTGTTTTTTAATTATCCTCAATGAAAACTGTCTTCATATTAAACTACATTTTTTTAGTGTTTTTTACGGTCTTTTGCATTAAATCTTAGAGTTGATGACTGGATTGTTGCCGAGTAAAACTAATTTGCCTTATCTTCCTTCCCTTTTTTTTGCTGATCAACCAGTTCTCACCGGTGCTTCCCCAAACTGGTGTATGCAAAAAAATATCTGTAACTGCATCGGAATAAATTTTGTATTTCTACACATGGTCGTCCTCGATCTTATGAGTTCTTCATAACCGCTCAAATGATATATTAACGATCTTGTATTATATAAAATTTTGAGGACACGTGCTTATTTATTACATTTCACGATAAATTGGGCATTCGTGAAATATCGGACAGTTGAAACAGTGAAACAATTGTAATGATATATGATTATGAATGAACAAAGGATTTATTGAAGTTAAAATTTATACCGCAGCGAAGCGAGAAACGACGAAGAATGATATATCACATCTGTAATAATTTATATTTAAATATTCATGAGATTATAAGAAGGATTCCAAGATTGATACGACTGACTTATTGCCTTCTCTATTACCTCTTTTTTTGCAACATGACGTAGTTGAGTTTATCTCAAGCTTTTAGTGTAATTACAGATATGCTAATATTGCTCGGTAATTAATTTTTTTAAATCAAACACTTAAAATGAATGTAAAACACTGTGCAACTAATACGTGCGTCAATAGTATAATTGTTTGATTGACCATTTCAACGAATCGTTTACTGTAGAATTTACATCTTGGCCACGCTCAGCTTGATCGCGTTATTATTTCGTGGTATATTTTATTTTATAGCGAATAGTAATAAACACTATTCTTAGAAATGACGTATCATAAATTCGACGTCCGTCGATTTAATTCGAAATGTCACGCCATTCTGTAATCAAAGTCTCAAAGTAAATTTCTGCCGCCCGTTCGTAGAACCACGACGCTCATGATAATAAATGCTTTGTTCAGCGCGTGTGTTAATTGACATCGCACTTATTTGCACGTGGTATTCCCGCGGGACTGATTCTCGTTTCCCGGACTTGTGATTCGATCGGTACCGAACTTTTCTTCGCAATAGTAAATCCCCAAGCGGATTAGCCCCTCTTTTTCGCGCATATTATTTTCTCAGTTAACTCTGAATATTGATATGGAATTCTCATTTAACTCCGATATAGAATCCTCACCGCGCCACCGCGTGGATACGACGAAGATTCATTCGTCGTGCCGAATAACAACGAACGCTTCCCCGAGTCGCAACTTTGGCCTTATAGCAAAATATATTCAATTCTATTGTTTTATTCCTACTTTGATGTCTTAAATTACCTTTTTCGTCGTTACTAACGTCGAAAAAGTTATTTTAAATATTTATATGAATTTAATAGTCAAAATACTAAAAGCAATTATAAGTTCAAGGTAGCCCCGTATTATTCCAAATAGGCAGAACAAATGGAATCTGTCTGTATTTCTTATTTAAAATCGCACTTTTGAAATATTACACTTCTAATCCGAAATTTCATAAATTTCCAAATCCATCATTTTTTTTTTAAATCGGAATAGATCCAATCAGATCCCGGACAATTTTCTATGCTTACTGAAATGAAATGTTTAGAATTAAAAAATGAAAAATCTTTAGAATTAAATTAAATCTTTAAAATTAGATTTAGATTTAGATTTAGAGAGAGAGAGAGAGAGAGAGAGAGAAAGAGAAGTTAACAAGTATAATATATCATCAAAGTAGATTTTAACTAACTTATAAGTCATCTAAGTAGATGCAAACTACCTTTAAGAGTATGAAAAAGTAGCATAAAAAATCAACTCGGATTGAAATCATAACGCGAGCTTAGAAATTGACGTTGATCGGTGTCCTCGTGAAATCCTGACTAAAATGTTGAGCGTACAACGCGCTCAGTTAGAATGCTCCAGGCAAAGTCTAAGAAAAATGTGTTTACACAGTCGAAAGAAATCTCTTTTCGACATTTCGGTACTCGTTATAACGAGGAATAACGGTGTCACGCTGAACTTGGAGTTACTTCGCACCTCTGAGAAAGTGAACGCGCGGTAAGCGCGATGAAGGTGGGCGCATCGATTCGCCGATTTTCTCGCCGAGCGAGAGTGACTTTAATATTGACCGATGCTCGCGTCACGGCGAAAAGATTTTTCGCATAAATGCATACTTTGCGTTTTACGTAATGCATGTCCAATAACAAAAGTCGGTTACGTAGATTGCGGCACGGCATGCCTTGAGCGGCCGGCTCTTCGCCGGCGCGTATATACAGTCGCGATTGGCCCGGCCGCTTCCTCCTTCCCTTTTTAATCTCAATTCGGTTTCGGCGTTTCAGGCAAAAGCCAAGGATGAAAGACCAACGGCGGGACGACGAGTGAAAGTGAAGCCGGGGCAACGCGTCTTACCTGGACCAGCTGTGAAAGTGCAGTGCGTAATACGAACTCGAGGAACGTATTGTGGTACTACCTGTCGAAACCGCGTCATCGACATCACGACGACGACGACGACGATGATGAACAGGTAATGAGGCGATGATAACGAAAACGACGATGACGACGGTGCAGACGCGCGCTCGTCATGAGGACGATGCCCGGCACGGTGATGCCAGATGATAAGGATGATCTCTTATAGACGCTCACGCATCTTGAATCGACGCATTCCTGACCGACAATCAGAGCGTGGAGCAATTAATTAGGCGCCTCTACCCTATTATCTAATCCGCTTTTATCCAAGTGAGCTTGTTGACGTTTTTGCCGGTTAATCGCGCATCGGCCTTTCGAGAACTATCGACAGCCGAACTGCTGAGTAGAATTATTATAAGAACTTCTTCGCGAAATATGCGCATTAGTCGCCGGCAGGAAACCTCACGTTTGACACGTAGTGTACGGTGAAAAAGGGGAAAAAAGTACCGGCGGAACTGAAGGCTGGATCGAGTACAAAGTAACGGCGATTAATTCGGATCGACCAGTGCAAGGAACATTTATTCTCACCGGGTGACGTGTCTTGATTGGGTCGTTCCTATCAGTCCAGGTTCGAAACATCGTTTCTTTTCTACGGCGCGCATCGTACCTGAGATCGAAGATGAAGTTCATCACGTCCCTATTCGGGACCGGGTCCCCGAAGGTGATGGGCAGGCAGTACATGAAGGTCGGCAGAAATGCCCTCTTTGGCGTAAAGACTGATCGTGCTGAAGACATCTGCACTGAGAAGGTGCCGAAGCCTCTCTCCCTGCTGATCTCCAGGAAAGGAAAGCTCAGACACGGTGAGTTACGACAGCTGATCTAACACTTAATAATGGGTTAGCTGTTGCGCTATAATAGAATCGATATCGAGATTGATGATTTCCGCGGAAGATGAGGGGAAAAAAGTAGGAAAAATGCATAGAAAAAGGAAAAGAAAGTCGACCTCATTTCTCTTATTTTTCCTTCCACGCGGTAGTTTGAATCATTCGAGACGATAATTACGTCGATTAAACGCTAAGTATCGATAAGGCTCGTTCTCACCACGCCGTCGGAAGCCGGTAATTCATTTAATCTGTTACAAACCGCGACTATCGCCGCAATTTTCTACCGCAACTAATGATAACTTTATTGTTAAGTACTCACGCACAGTCTCGCGCCGGCAATCAGACCGGAACAAGATTATAGAACGAATGGCAAAGCGCTATTGTTCGCTCGGCACCTTCCTTAATTGGTCGTTACCCGACGAGACTAAATTGATTTATCACCGGTCAAATTGCAATAATGCCGCGATCTTCCGTTAATAGCTTGTCGTTCGAGTGCGCGGAGTCGCCACTGATTGCCGAAGGATTGCAACAAAGGAGGAGTTGCATCCGACGCGCGATTCCATCGCGGAGAGAGTTGGAACTCGCTTATTTCGCTCGCGCGCTGAATATATTCTCAATCGTTCGGAATTGAATCATTGTTCCTGCATTTCTTCTGAATGATGTGCACGACAATTCATCGATCATTTAGAATGCATTTTACACCGCCGGTCATATGTTACTGATTACCGATAACAGTTGATTTATATTCTTGAAATGAATTCCTCTCTCGTGCATTGCAGCTGCGTAACAGACGAATAGTTAGAGTTGTGTCACTATTAAATAACTTGTTCTTGGCGAAATCGATCATAGATATTTGTCGCGACGTCCAAGATATTTGTCGCGGATCGGACGTAGCCGCATTAAATACGAGGTGTGAGTCAAGAATTTTTTATGTCGAATTGAATCAAATCTTAATTTTTCTAATTTCGAATCCGAGTCAAATCGACGAAATTTCACTCGAATAGACGCTTGCAGATTCTCCCTGAGCGACTGCTCAGACGAGGACACACATTTTTGCAATTTTTTATTTTTTAATTTAAAATATCAAGGATACGACAGGCAAAAAGGGTCAAGTCAATTTCTGTTCGCAATTCAGTCGAGCGAAATGATTTGTGAGATTCGCGAGTGCATTATCTAGTCCACTTTGGACGAATGTCTCTTTTTTTTTATCAGCGCCGTTGCTTAACACCTTGCGCACGGTGGTAACAGTCCCTTACGAATAAATATATCAAAGTGAGAGCTACAATATTGGACTATAATTCTTATCACATTCAAAGAGCACGCATAAGTAGCGTAGTGCGCAAGGCCGACTAGTCCACACGTGCCTCATGTTGATCAAAATATTCTCGTGATCGTGATAAACATCAGAGTGAACTTGTGGCGCTGACGTCATAAAGATTATTGCCAGGCACGTGTTATTTCGTATTACACATCTTTATTTATCAGATCATCATCGCCTAGCTAAATTGAAATCTTTATTTTTTATCGACGATTATCGCGTTATTGCTATCGACGTGTTAATTGATTTGATGACAATATTTGAGATTATTATGAATCTCGGCGATTTCATAATGAGTGTTTACATCCAAGACCACACATTTTTTTCTCCAATAAAAAGCCTTGGCAGAATTACTCGCGGCAAAAGCATTCTGCGACGTTGAACGGCGTCAGGGAACGACCATTTTATCGATCGTAAAATCACGGGAACTCGCTTTGAGTGTGGCGGTTTCCTTTTCAAGATAAAACCTCTCGGGTTTTCACCGAGCAAATATCTTCAAATTTGCACTAAAAGGTTTCTAGTTGCGAGAAAACGCGTGAAGTACGAGCTACCCCGTATGACTACTTAGACCCACTCCGGCTCCGCGACCAGATTGCAAGCCGAACGCAGTCGCTAGATGTTTCGAAACTCGCGAGAACGCACTCGATATCTCCAGGCTTCTTTTGCCTGAATTATTTCATTTGTAAAAATTTGTAAAAATTTATGTCTTGAATAGGTACTCATATTCTTTTAATATTTCCTGATTTATTCTTATGAAAATTTAACTAAGTTGCCTTCTGTTTTTGTAATATTTTATTATTCTAGCTCTCATTACGGTCTGGAAAATGTGGTTTGGTTACATTAAATGCGCGGTAATATCGAATATATATAGAGAAGGAAGGAGGGGAAAAGAGAGGGAACGCGTCTTTATCGTTGAATACTTTTCATATTTTCCGGAAGTCCTCAGAACATAAAAAATGTCAAATAACAGTGATTATGGCACGCAGATCTAAGTATGATAACATAGAGAGACCGCTCTATTAGAGATATGATTTCGATGCAATTATATTTCTTAACTTGAAGCGTGTTTCCACTGTTGCCGATTAAATCCCCACATTCCGTCAAGTGTAATAATTGTATGGTTGCAAATTAACAAATCGGCGTAACTAGAGCAGCCGGCTGGTGTGCATTAGAAGTGCATGAAGTTCATTTTACCATTACTCCGAATATGCTGCTTTTTTATGCTCGTGGTTCCTAGGAGGTGTGTTCGCCACTTTAAACATTAAGGTACGCTATGTTATCTATACCGGAATAACGTTAACGCGTCTACTCTAAAGCGGAAAATCAACAGCAATGTATTGCGCGTATTAACTAACACCACAGTAACGGTAATTGCATCGCGCATCTTGCATGGTAATATCAGCGCGGAATTGTTTTCGTGACAAAAGAGCCGCGACCAGCGGCGCTACACAATCGGTAGATTATCCGTGTTTAATTGGTTATTATGCTCAATCTGTGGCGACCGAGGCACATTAATCATGAAACATCTCGCTAATGAGGTCACGAGATAAGGAGATTCATATAAAATTTGTGCACGTTCACCGTCGCTAAGGTCCGGCGGAAAAGTAATCGGTAATTAACGGTTCGGTTGTAATTCTCCCGAGCGAATTCGTTGTTCCGCTGCTGACGAATGGGAACAACCGCCGACGGCGATATACCTGTATACATCCGCACATTGCTAAACACAACGTACACGCGACATGTAACGGAGGCCGGAGTGCAGTAGGTCAGTGGAACGCGAGTGATAGAGGATGGGTTGCCTATCGTATAGCTAGAAGTTGCGTTGATTAATGTCTTTCTCTCGCTATTGTCAGTTATCGCTATGCAGATCGATATTCCGTCACGGAATATCTTACATCCTGTACATCTTTCAGATCAATCGTGGTCTTTTATGAAAATTTCCTCATGCGAGTTGTGGAATTTGAATTCGGCGGCGATAAGGAAAAAATAGTCGGGTTCACAGAGAAGAACAAGTTTGATATCACACATGAGAGAAATTACAATTATTTCCGGTCTCAAATATTCAGGGTGAACCATGCAATAAGATCAGCTTAGTTTATTCTGTTGCTAGGGGACCGTTTGAAAATTTGTTCGTCTAACATAACATGGTTCAGCTCTAAGATGATTTTAAAGCTCGAAAGAATAAATAAAATGTAAAAAAACAACAGACTTTGCCGTTTATTAATATCGATTAAGTTGACGGTAAAGTTATTATCACTGACGCTCCAGACAGCGGAAATCCTAAAATCGGGACATAAGACGCCTTAAAGTCATCTATCATCTATCATCTGTAATTAAGACATCTTTAAGACGTCTTATGGTTGAGTTTTTGGTTTTATGCTGTCTCGGGCTACAGTAACATTTAACTAAAACATGATCCTCTTAACTATAATTCTTTTATTGTAATGAATATAGTTACAAATATCAAATATTTTTCTCTCAGTGCAGATCGCGTATTCGTAGCACTAAACGAATGCTATTACCTGGCGTTGAAGTCTCCAGTAACGCTCTGCCGGCCGTTAAAATCTCCGACGCGCGGATACGCGAAGAAGAAACTTTTTTTGCTCAGTCTTTGCCCATTAAAGTTTTGTCGTTAAAGTTCTCACGATTTTTTCGCTATGTATTGTATTTTTGTTTCTCCGCTCTCAAAATCGTAACGAGAGCAGTCTCTTCTTTGTTTGAATACTTTCGTCACAAAGAAGAAAGAAGACAAACGAGATTTATGTGCGCCTTTTCTGTGTCGCTGTATCTTTCGGGTGACATTCCTGGAATCCGACGTATCTTTTATTCCACGATACCGTTATGCTTCGCAAGAAATATGAGTTCCTGGTCCCTTGTTTTCGCCACGCGTGCGCGTTAACGGCAAACGCGAGGCACGATTTTCACTCACGTTTTGTATCACGCGAGACACACTTTTCTTACGTAACTCGAAACTCGTCGTTTTCAAAATCTTTCTTTTAACTCTTCCCAGCACGAGCGCTTCCAAAAGTACAAGAGGTATTTTCCTTCTCGTTGAGAGAGAAAGTTATTAATATTAATATTATTAAAATATAGCTTTAATGTTTCGAAAAGAAACGATATTTTTTCCCAATTTCTCCGCGGATTTCTCCGGTTTCTGTTCTAAGAGTACAAAAATTCCTTTAGAAAAATTCATATGTGTATTAAGTCAAAATCTGTCACACTTACTTCTTTCCGTAAAGAAGATGTACGAAACGAAAAAGAAAATCCATAGAAAAATTGATAAAAAGAAAATGGGTATTTTCCGAAACTTAAAACTATAATTGATAGCTATCAATACCAATGAATTATTACAAATATTATTTAATGCTACAATGTGCTGCATGCCTTCTGTTACGATTTCCCCGCTGAAAGCGATAACTCGACACGAACGTTACAAATTGCACAATCATTTTGCGCATATAAGCGCAAGGTATTCGAACCAATAAAAATGGGTAATTTCAACAAACGAAAGGGTAAATAAAAAAACAGAAAATGACAGACTCTGCCGTCTGTTAATATCGATTAAATCGACGGTAACTCTTGCGAAACACTTTCGTGCACTCGTCGATTTGCAAGTTATTGCATATTATACGAGGTGACCGAAAAATCACGGAACGTT